TGTTCACCAGGGGTACAAGGTTTTGACACACTGCCATATGGTTATATATATATATATGTATTTTAATGATAGTTATATAACTATAATGTATAAATAATGATAGTTAAAGAACTAATGATCACATGGCTAAATAACAAACTTATAAATAATAGTTAGCTAATGATATGAACTAGTTGTTTTGATAGCTGATAGTGATTTTTTTAATGGTGATTTTCCATTGATATCCCACCAATCATTCACTACCTCTCACTTATATTATTCTTCAAATGCATAGTTACCCTCTGGTAATTTAACATAGCTATTGAAAATTGTCCATTTATGGTGGATTTACCCATAAAAAATGGTGATCTTCCATAGAATTGATTATTGATATTCATTCCACCGGACTACATGAATTGTCTAACAATGTCGAACACGGTTGGATTAATTTTGACCGCTTTAGTGAAATTTCATGTTTGCTTTACCTAGTGATATTTGGAATCAATTGGATATGTTATAGGGTATACCACACAAATGGTGCTTTTAATAAGGGAACATGATGATTAAACAATGGATTTGGAGGTAATTACACGATTTTCAGAGAAACCAGAATTGATTATGGTGATTTCTTGGAGGATTGATGATTATCGACCAACCAAGTCTTCAAAACCTCGGTTTGTGCTTTGGAGGGAGTGTTTCCGAAGAGTTTCCGCTTGTCGCTGCTTAAATCACATAAAAACCCAAGTTTTGATGGTTCAATGAGTTCAATCCCCCCGGTTTTAGCGTTGATACCACTGATCTTTGATGATTAGTTCATCTTAGTTTGATGATTAGGGCATCTTAGTTTGATGATTAGTCCATCTTAGTTTGATGATTAGTTCATCTTAGTTTGTTGATTAGTTCATCTTTGTTTGATGATTATTTCATATTAGTTTGATGATTAGTTCATCTTCGTTTGATGATTAGTTCATCTTAGTTTGATGATTAGTTCATCTTAGTTTGATGATTAGTCCATCTTGGTTTGATGATTAGTTCATCTTAGTTTGATGATTAGTCCATCTTAGTTTGATGATTAGTTCATCTTAGTTTGTTGATTGGTTCATCTTGGTTTGATGATTAGTTCATCTTAGTTTGATGATTAGTTCATCTTAGTTTGATGACCAGTCCATCTTAGTTTGATGATTAGTCCATCTTAGTTTGATGATTAGTTCATCTTAGTTTGATGATTGGTTCATCTTAGTTTGATGATTAGTTCATCTTAGTTTGATTATTAGTTCATCTTAGTTTGATGATTAGTCCATCCATCCATCTTAGTTTGATGATTAGTCCATCTTAGTTTGATGATTAGTTCATCTTAGTTTGATGATTGGTTCATCTTAGTTTGATGATTAGTTCATCTTAGTTTGATTATTAGTTCATCTTAGTTTGATGATTAGTCCATCTTAGTTTGATGATTAGTTCATCTTAGTTTGGTGATTAGTTCATCTTAGTTTGATGATTAGTTCATCTTAGTTTGATGATTAATTCATCTTAGTTTGATGATTAGTCCATCTTAGTTTGATGATTAGTTCATCTTAGTTTGATGATTAGTTCATCTTAGTTTGATGATTAGTTCATCTTAGTTTGATGATTAGTTCATCTTAGTTTGATGATTAGTTCATCTTAGTTTGATGATTAGTTCATCTTAGTTTGATGATTGGTTCATCTTAGTTTGATGATTAGTTCATCTTAGTTTGATGATTAGTTCATCTTAGTTTGATGATTAGTTCATCTTCGTTTGATGATTAGTTCATCTTAGTTTGATGATTAGTTCATCTTAGTTTGATGATTAGTCCATCTTAGTTTGATGATTAGTTCATCTTAGTTTGATGATTAGTTCATCTTAGTTTGTTGATTAGTTGGTCTTAGTTTGATGATTATTTCATATTTGTTTGATGATTAGTTCATCTTAGTTTGATGATTAGTCCATCTTGGTTTGATGATTAGTTCATCTTAGTTTGATGATTAGTCCATCTTAGTTTGATGATGAGTTCATCTTAGTTTGTTGATTGGTTCATCTTAGTTTGATGATTAGTTCATCTTAGTTTGATGATTAGTTCATCTTAGTTTGATGATCAGTCCATCTTAGTTTGATGATTAGTTCATCTTAGTTTGATGATTAGTTCATCTTAGTTTGATGATTGGTTCATCTTAGTTTGATGATTAGTTCATCTTAGTTTGATGATTAGTTCATCTTAGTTTGATGATTGTTCATCTTATGATGAGTTCATCTTAGTTTGATGATTAGTTCATCTTAGTTTGATGATTAGTTCATCTTAGTTTGATGATTAGTTCATCTTAGTTTGATGATTAGTTCATCTTAGTTTGATGATTAGTTCATCTTAGTTTGATGATTATTTCATATTAGTTTGATCATTAATTCATCTTAGTTTGATGATTAGTCCATCTTAGTTTGATGATTAGTTCATCTTAGTTTGATGATTAGTTCATCTTAGTTTGATGATTGGTTCATCTTAGTTTGATGATTAGTTCATCTTAGTTTGATGATTAGTTCATCTTAGTTTGATGATTATTTCAAATTAGTTTGATGATTGGTTCATCTTAGTTTGATGATTAGTTCATCTTAGTTTGATGATTAGTTCATCTTAGTTTGATGATTAGTTCATCTTAGTTTGATGATTAGTTCATCTTAGTTTGATGATTAGTGCATCTTAGTTTGATGATTAGTGCATCTTAGTTTGATGATTAGTGCATCTTAGTTTGATGATTAGTGCATCTTAGTTTCCTATTTGTCTGTGTGATGCAAAACTCGTCTTTGTGATTACATTCTTTTGTCCTTTTGATCAGCAACCCATTTTTTGTCATCACATCCGATTTGTTTTTAGGTACCGTAAAGGTATTCAGTTTCTTTTCTGAAATCAATGGCCATTTCAGGAACCTAAATTGGGGGTACCTACCACATAGGCCTAAATAAGGCCTAAATCTCAGGGAATATCCCCGCAAAATATGGTCCAAAATATGGTACTAACGTACCTCCGTTGCAGGATCCTGAAATTCCAATTTATAAAACCCACAGATATTGGGAGATTATGGGAAAAGTGTGGGAACTTATCTTGGTAAATTATAGTTTTGGGAACTATCTCCAAGTGGGATTATTCAAAGGTAATGTACAGATATGGCTCGAAATACCAGTTATGTTTGTACTGAACCAACCCCATTTATAGAATGTATAATCCCAGTTAAAACTAATCTGGTTGGTGGTTTCAAACATTTTTATTTTCCATCATATATGGGATAATCCTTCCCATTGACTTTCATATTTTTCAAGATTGTTAAAACCACCAATCAGTATATAAATTGGTTTATAAACCCCATTAACTATAGAATTATAGATATATCACCTATAAACCATAGTTATTGGAGTTATAAAAAATATATATATATAAGTTATAACTTTGCCCCGGAATCTCCACCAAGGAAAGGCCATTTGGGATGCCGAGCCGCCCTTGCGGCCGAGACTGGGAAGAAATATCCCGCCCAGTGGGGGAGTGGGAGGATAATGTATGATAATGTTGTTGTTGTTGTTGATGATGATGATGATGATGATGACGACGATGAGGATGAGGATGAGGATGAGGATGAGGATGAGGATGAGGATGAGGATGATGATGATGATGATGATTGATGATGATGTATGATGTATGATGTATGATAATATTGTTGTTGATGATGATGATGATGATGACGACGATGAGGATGATGATGATGATGATGATGGTGATGATGACAATGATGTTGATGTTGTTGTTGATGATGATGATGATGATGATGACGACGACGACGATGATGGTGATGATGATGATGATAACGATGAGGATGAGGATGAGGATGATGATGATGATGATGGTGATGATATGATGATAATGTTGATGATGATGACGACGATGAGGATGAGGATGAGGATGAGGAGGATGAGGAGGATGATGATGTTGATAGTGATGATGATGATGATGATGAGGATGATGATGATGATGATGTATGATGTATGATGTATGATGTATGATGTATGATAATGTTGATGTTGTTGTTGATGATGATGATGATGACGATGGTGATGATGATGATGATGATGATGTTGATGATGATAATGCGTGTAGAAGTAACTCGTGTGAATCATTTGATTGTTTGAAATCAATGATCATTTGTTATAGGTTAGTGTTTAGCAATTGGGGGTGTTCGAACTTGGACTTCCAGCCAGCCAGTGGGTTAAGAGTATAACCTTTCATTAACCGTGGAAGTTCGCTAACTTGGATTACCCTAACATTTGAACTAACCATCATTTATAGCGTTTAATAACACACCAACTGGGGTTAAGTACTCGGTGCTGTTCGTGGTGGCGACTGGGTTGCGGATGGTTTTGGGAGAACCCCAGTCTTAACCATGGCTATCAACTATGGGTACCCTCCAACCCATTCATATAGAAGTAGAAGACCACCATTATGAACATGTATGTATACATACATAATAATCACATATTCTATGAGCCATCAAAAACATCGAATGTTCCACTTCCAGGTAAGTTGGGCATAGGATATTTGATTGTTGGGTCTTACCCTTTGGTAAACGTTTGCATAACTATGGAAAACACCATTTTCAATGGGTAAATCCACTATGTCTATGGCCATGTTCAATAGCAAACTGTTACAGGCATCTGACAAAGTCGTACCTGTTTTAGGAAAAAATCGTTGTGCCTTGGGGAAGGGTGGTTGTCTTCGGTTTGGTTGGGCTTGGGCATAGACAACCCTTCTCTCTCAATGGTCTTGTTCTAGGATGTATAGTATTGATATTCCTGGGGCCTGGCAATCGCAGTGTGGACAGATCGCGTTTGTGTAGAATGCTTGTTATAGTGCCTGTAGAGCTTGTTGATATAGCAGCAACAAGATTGGTGCTGCTTGTGTGCATAGACAACTGCAAGGTGTGTTTGTTGTTTTGTTTCGCGCTTTTCTTTTGCTTGTGCTATTATGGCTTTCTGGAAGCGCCGGACAGAAAGCAAATGTTCAGGACCGTGCTGGCGTGACGGCACGGCGCCACCAGCACAATATCCCGAGCCAGTGAGCTTGCCGGTACGTGGTGATGGCCTTGCGCGACCAGAGCTTGGGGATAGACCAGACACCTGGCAAAAGTGGCCACGCTTGGATACACATCAGGTAGGTCAAGTGTGCAGCCCATCAGTGGATGCTCTGGCCATGAAGACGCGGCAGCGCCAACCCAAGTGCTTGGCTTCTGCTCGCGGCAGCGCGCAACACAAGGAAGATGATTTATGTGAGAAATGGGTCGTGAAGTGGGCCGGCGAACTTGAGCCTTGGTTAGTGATCTCTCCAAGCTTTTTGCTTCTAGGAGAAGCAGCCATGCCTTCCCTGAAGAGGGTTTTGCAGGGTAAGGCGGCAGCGACTTTGCGGAAGCATTTCCCAGGTTGGCGGCGTTGGTGCAGCTTTGCACAGCAGCAGCAATGTGCTTTAGTGAGCCCACCACTACAGTTCATGGTGTGGTTTTTCCAAGCATTGGCAGAGGCAAAACACGGAGTGTCTTCCTGTGCAAGCGCGCTGCGGTTTGTAGCTGGTGTGCTTGGAATGTTAGAATGGTCAGCAGCTCTAAGTAGCCCGGTGGTTGCTGCTTGGTGCAGCGAGCAAGCATATCGTCGAGCCCGAAAAGAAGCTTTGCCTCTCCCTTTGGTGATAGTAGCTATGTTTGAAGAGGCTGTGCTTGAGGACATGAGATTGGGAGTTTTCAGCCCTGATACAGCGTTACTGACTGGCTTCCTCATGATGCTATGGGGGGCGCTCCGCTTTTCAGATCTGCAAAGAGTCAGGGTGCCGGATCTGGAGATCGGACAGGGCGTGGTCAGGGGTGAATGTTGGCGCACAAAGTCGGCTCGGGGCGGAATGCCTTTCGGGTTTCTTACAGCAGGAATTCGTGGTGATTCGGGTTCGGCTGTAGCTACATTAAAATCGCATCTTGCTGCAAGCGATTTTGTGTTCCAAGCGCCTCGAGGGGGTTGTGCATCATTTTCATTTGTTCTTTGCAATTTGCGGCGGCTTTTGATGGAAAAGGGCCATGTCCCAGAAAAACACGCTTGGAACTATTCCCTGCATTCCTTGAAAGTTACTGGCTTGTCATGGGCGCTACAAGTAGATGTAGACCCCTCCAGCCGACGTTTTTGGGGGCATCACCGTGCAAAAGAAAGTGGCGAAAGAATGGCCGCAAAATATTCACGTGATGATGTGCTGCCAGCGCTCAGAGCTCAGCTGAAAGTCTTGCGTTCCATTCGTGCGGGCTGGTGCCCCCTGACACCGCAAGCGCGCGGCGGCAAAGAGCCACTGAAGGAGGTAAACATCACCAGTGCGGCTGCTACGCCTTTGGTTATACCTGCAGGCCTAGAGCCGCCGGCTGTGCAAGGCGAATCAGATACAGATAGTGAATCATCAAGGTCATCATCCAGCTCGTCGTCCTCTAGCGTAGATTCATGCGGAGAGGAAGTTTCAGGTGAAGAAGCTGTGGTGAAATCAGGTGTGTTTTTGATCAACAGGATGACAGGTTGTTTCCATGCCGCTGTTTCAATAAAAGACCGCATAGGTCGCGCGTGTGCACCGCTGCGTTGCGTGAAGGCGCCACATTGGGAAAGCATAGGCTGCCATCCAGTGGAGGATGATGATGAATTAGTACCGTGCTCCCACGCAGCGTGTGCCGCTTATTTGAATTTGTGAGGGTTGGTCAGTCAGCCATGTCTGGCATTTGGTTTGCTTGGGCATGGTTCCAAGTACGGTTTATTGCCTTCGGATTTGGTGTCCCAGGCAAGTGAAGGGCCATGTGTGGTCAGGGTATTACAACAGTGTGGCCGTGGCTTAGGCAGGGGAGTGGCCACGCAGGTTTATTTAAATAAATGTTTGTTTCCTTCTTTCTTCCCCGTCGTTGTCTTTGTCTCGTCCCCTCTGTGGCCAATGGGGCCAGGGCTTGTGCACTGGGTTGCCAAGCAGTTGTTGTTTCGTGGCTAATGGAGCCAGGGCTTGTGCACTGGGTTGCCAAGCGGTTGTTGTTGCGTGGCCAATGGGGCCAGGGCTTGAGCACTGGGTTGCCAAGCGGTTGTTGTTGCGTGGCCAACGGGGCCAGGGCTTGTGCACTGGGTTGCCAAGCGGTTGTTGTTGCGTGGCCAATGGGGCCAGGGCTTGCGCACTGGGTTGCCAAGCGGTTGTTGTTGCGTGGCCAATGGGGCCAGGGCTTGCGCACTGGGGTGCCAAGCGGTTGTTGTTGCGTGGCCAATGGGGCCAGGGCTTGAGCACTGGGGTGCCAAGCGGTTGTTGTTGCGTGGCCAATGGGGCCAGGGCTTGCGCACTGGGTTGCCAAGGGGTTGTTGTTGCGTGGCCAATGGGGCCAGGGCTTGAGCACTGGGTTGCCAAGCTGTTGTTGTTGCGTGGCCAATGGGGCCAGGGCTTGAGCACTGGGTTGCCAAGCGGTTGTTGTTTTTCGCGTCTGTCGCTGCTTGTGGGGTGCTGCTTCGTTGTTTGTTTGTTTGTTTTTTTTTTTTGCTGCCTGCTTTCGTCTTGCCAGGTTGCTGTCCTCTGTGGTCTGTGTCCCTTTCCTTTGTTTTTTTTTTCTTTTCTCTCCTTATTTCTTTCAGCCATTGTTGGCGCTGTGATGTGGTGGCCGCAAGTGTGCGATTTGCCAGGGCTCACAGGTTGGCGGGCAGTTGCCCAGTGGGTTGATGGCGTGAATCATATGTGTGGTTGCTCGGTTGAAGCCAGTAAGTGTCGTGAGTTTCGCCAAGCTGTGCGGTGGTTCCCTCGTCAGGGAGTTGGTTGCTGCTTTCTTTCTTGTGTTTGCTGAGATGGATTCAGTGGAAGCCTTCGACAAGCTGTTGTCGGACCTCTCTGTTGTAGAGGGTGTGCGCGCGAAGCTCAAAGAGAGGGGATATACCACAGCTGCTGGATTATATTGGGCATTGGAGGCAGGTGCGGAAACCACATTTCAGCATGTGCTGGAGGCAGCTTCTGTGGAGGTAGGACAGGCAGCTTCTATTATGCAGACCTTGGAAGCAGGTAAGCTGCGCAGACTCTTGTGTGATTGCAAAAGACTCTGTACTGTGGCGGTGCCCGCTGCACCTGAGCCAGCCTCCACCGCAATGGTGCCTATTTCTTCGGGTAGCCATTTGCTGGGCATTGAGTTGGGCCCAAAGCTTGGATCTGAAGTATTGCAGCAATTGTGGTTGGACTTTGATAAGAAGTACCCAGCGGAAGTTTTGACCGCGGAGCTGAAGCCATGTAGGCAATTGGTTCAGGCGATCTATACCCAAAAAATGCAAGGCGAGTTAAGGTTCATCCCTTGGCGAAACATCTTAAGCCAGGCAGAGGCCGACAAGGTAAAGCAATTCTCCCAAAAGAAAGAAAAGGCGTTTATGGATATATTAGCTGAAGCAGCAGGTCAGTCAGATGTGCCAGAGGTAGATCCTTCGGCATCGCCTTTTGCAGTGCAGAAGCTTCTGCATGTCCGTGCAATTTGTTGGGCTCTCTTGGGTTGGTGCCACCTGGGAGCGGCCCGCTCTTTGACTTACAAGTTCATTGACCTCTATGCAGTGACGGGTTTGGGTGCTTTAGGGTTGCGTGGGCCAAGTTTGGCAGAGGCTGAGGCAGCAGATGCTGAATGTTGTCGGCAGCTGAGCGCGCTGATGGCCCGTGGGCATACGTTGGATCAAGCCTTGCATGAAGTGGTTGAGGTGCGCAACTCTCTCCACATGTGGTTGCAACCGCGCCCGCGCTTCGCACCCTTGAAGCCAAGTAATCATGGCAAAGGCGCTGCTTCTGCACCATATGGTCAAGGGCTTTCGAAACAAAGCAAGAAGGGTGGCGGCAAAGGAAAAGGCAAACGCGAAGGGAAGCGTGCTGGCACGTGCCATGGTTTTCAAGCAGGAAAATGCAATTATGGAAAGGCGTGCAGGTTTTTGCATGAGTGTGAAATGTGCGGCGACAGCAATCATGGCAGCGCCGTCTGCCCTCAAAAGGCTGTGATGAGCTAGGGACAACGCCTCACCCCATCATGCGGTGAGGGCCAAGGTAAAGATTTAAAGATGACCGTGGAAATGAGGGCCCCAAGTGGCAAGTCAAATTTTGTTGTAGCGGTCGAGCAATCCTCGGCGGATGAGGCTGGGGTGGTGCTCCCGCTCGAGGTTGAGCGATCCTCGGCGGAGGAGGCTGGGGTGGTGCTCCCTCGTACTGACCAGGTTGAGCGATCCTCGGCGGAGGAGGCCGGGGTGGGGCTCCCTGGGTGCCGCGCCTACCACTCCATCAAGCTGAAAGATGGCGGTGGGCTTTTCAGCACTCTAGATTGGCAACTTCCACCGCCCGATGCGTGGCAAGATCGCCTTGGTTCAGTGCGATCAGCTATTTGGCGCACATTGCCATTCGGCGCAGCATCGCGTTTGGGCGCTCTGCCCTTAGATGGGCCCATGTTTTCTGAAGCGGAAGTGGCAGCTATGCGTGCGGAAGTTTGTTCAGCTTTGGGCGTTGACTTAGACTGGGCGGAGCGATCCTTTGAGCTGACGCCTTACAAGTTCAACTTGCTGGAAGCCATGGCTGCTAGACTAGGAGACATGGACGTGGGTCTGTGCGCTCTGTTAAAAGAAGGGGCTCCAACGGGCGTTGGAAAGAAAATACCGGCGTCAGGTGTATGGCCACTTTTGGATACGGAAGATCCAGTTGAGGGTGCAATACCGGATCTAGTTCTTTGCGATTCAAATCACAAATCAGCAGGGGAGGTGGAGAAGGTGCGTGCGCTGGTAGATATGGAAGTGCAGCAGGGTTACATGCAGCGTATAGGTAGTTTGGAACAAGTGAAGCAGCGGTTCCCAAGTGACAAGCTGGCTATTGGCAAACTTGGAGTAGTATCTTGTGAAGGAAAGGATGATCGTTTGATTGGTGATTCCCGTGCATCGGGCGTGAGCCCGGCAGCGCAGTTCAGCGAGCGTGCGGAAGTGCCAAGTCTGTACCATTTCTCCGCTGCTTTGGATCGATTTGCAGAGTGGTCCTATAAGCAAGGAAAGAGGGCAAAGCCCATCGCATCTGCAGAGGACTGGTGCCTTTTCTCAATTGACATAAAAGGGGCTCATAAAAGTGTCAGGACACACCCGGAAGATGTGGGCTTAGCAGTTTTTCAGGTGGAAGGCGAGCACTTCGCCTACGTCAACAATCACTTTGGTGCGTCCTGGTCTGCGTACTGGTGGTCAAGGCTTTCTGCCTTGCTTTTGCGTGTGATGCACCATGTGCTCCGCCACTGCCATGTTGGTGGCGTATATGTTGATGATTTTTTATGGTTGCTGCCGCGTGAGACTGCGCCGCTCATGGCTTCATTGTTGACAGCATTGTTGCAAATCTTGAATGTGCCCATTTCTTGGCGAAAGCTAGCGTTTGGCCGCAGCCTATCTTACATTGGTTGGAAGCTTTCCTTGATTGGTGGGTTGTCAGCACAGCTGCCAATCAATAAGCAAGAACGGATACTGGCGCAAGTGCAACATTGGATCATTCATCCCAGACGAGTGAGCAGGGATGACTTGTCCAGGCTGCTTGGCTTGTTGGTATGGGCACCACAGGTAAAGCTCACCCTGCGCCCCTTTTTAGCGCCGCTGTTTGCTGCTCTGCACCGCCCCTCACAAAAGTTGCAATGTGTTGGCCTTCAGCAAATTGAGGAAATTGTTCAGCTGTTGGGAGAAAATTTAGTGCTCGCGGCTGGTGCGAGGACTTGTGACGTACAAGCTGGTTGGCGCTTGTCAAGTGTAGGTTCACTTGTGGTACGTGATTTGCAGCAAGCACGGCAACTGCTGGAGCAGCCGCGGCTCAAAAACGGCAAAGTTTGGCTCCGCTTCAAAGCGTGGAGCCGGACAATGGACTTGGATAAAGCTGCTGTGCGCTCATTGCAGGTGCTGCAACAGAGCCTGCGTGCTAACCTCTTCAGCTGGGCAGGATCTCAGACAGTCTTGTCTGGTGCCGCAGATGCTTGGGCAGATGCGACAAAGGCTGGCTTGGGCGGTTGGTTTGAATCTTCTACTGGTTTGCATTGGTTTCATGTGCCGTTGCGGCGGGAAGACATACCAGCAGACTGGGATTTCCCCCTTTCAATGCAGAAAGCAATCTCCAGCTTGGAACTACTTGCGCAATTAGCGCTGCTATTGGCACGTGTGCGTGTGGAGGGAGCAGGCTTCAAATATCGAGCCGTGCTTCATCAGCAGTCGGACAACATGGCTGTGGTTGGCTGCTTGGCAAAAGGTTTGGCTACCAAGCCGCCCTTGGCAACGGTGCTCATGCACCTTGCGCGGCATTGCCTCAAGGCAGATTGTGCTTTGGATGTGGCGCACATTGCTGGTGAGCGTAATGAACTGGCAGACAGGCTGAGCCGGCTGAACGAAGATGAAGCCAGGCTGCCGTCGGCCGCTCTTCAAGGAAACAAAGTGGAACTTACAGTGGCAGAATTGATGAGTGATGTGCAGCTGTAGGCATCCAAGTATGCGGTTCCACCAGTCGCGGCGTAGCTTAGGGGATAGGGATCAGCGCCTGGTTATTGTGTTTGGTTTTGTGGTGTTTGTTTGGCTGTTGCTTCCTGTTTGAATTTGGGGATCCCAGGCTGAAGTTGGGGGCGGTCGATGACTGTGATCCCCGGGGTGTGGGCCGGGCACCTGTGCCTGTTTCTCCAGATGCCAAAAAGTATGAGCTGGGCGCTGATCCCTTTTGTGGTGTAGTTGGAATATGAGTAGGTCCGGTTTGTGTAATCCTAGAATCAAACCTAGTGAGTAGAGGGGTGGTTGTCTTCGGTTTGGTTGGGCTTGGGCATAGACAACCCTTCTCTCTCAATGGTCTTGTTCTAGGATGTATAGTATTGATATTCCTTGGGCCTGGCAATCGCAGTGTGGACAGATCGCGTTTGTGTAGAATGCTTGTTATAGTGCCTGTAGAGCTTGTTGATATAGCAGCAACAAGATTGGTGCTGCTTGTGTGCATAGACAACTGCAAGGTGTGTTTGTTGTTCCCACCCACCCACCCTGGGGGCGGTCGATGACTGTGATCCCCGGGGTGTGGGCCGGGCACCTGTGCCTGTTTCTCCAGATGCCAAAAAGTATGAGCTGGGCGCTGATCCCTTTTGTGGTGTAGTTGGAATATGAGTAGGTCCGGTTTGTGTAATCCTAGAATCAAACCTAGTGAGTAGAGGTGTGTTTCGCAAAAGTCGTGCCTTTAGCAAGAACGCATAGGAACTCTGGAGTTTGGATATGTAACCTGTTTTCTTATGAGATCACGTAGCTGATCACTATTAGCATGCAGAATTCCAGGTTTTGGGTATGTTGATTAGTTATAGGTAAGATGGCGTTGAGCTGGTGATTTGATGATTTTGGATGTTCATCCCAGATTATCCTGTTTTTCCCGAATGCGTAGCGAAGGGTTTGTTCGCCTCGAGTGGCTCGTCGCGTCGTCGTCGGGTCGGCGTCGCGTCGTCGTCAGGTCGGCGTCGCGTCGTCGCGTCGTTAATTCCGTGCCTATGGGGGAAGCTGCAAAACCTCTCCTTTTCGAAGGTTTCCAGGCAGGTTGTCATGTCGTTTTGCGTGGCAGGCGTGGCACTTTGTCACATTCCAACCTGTTTGATAACGTGTCGAAAGTGTCAAAATTGGAGGATGTCTCGCACGAAATGCTCGTTTTGCTGCGCCCACGTATCTCGTATCGAGTCTCTGGTTTTCCTGTGGCATCGCCGTGTCTATGGGGGAAGCTGCAAAACCTCTCCTTTTCGAAAGTTTCCAAGCGGGTTGTCATGTCAGTTTGTAGCACAAAGTAGTACTGGGAAGTAGTTTGTGCAAGCTTTGTAGTACAAAGTAGTACTGGGAAGTACTTTGTGCAAGCTTTGTAGTACAAAGTAGTACTGGGAAGTGCTTTGTGCAAGCTTTGTGGTACAAAGTAGCTCTGGGAAGTGCTTTGTGCAAGCTTTGTAGTACAAAGTAGTACTGGGAAGTGCTTTGTGCAAGCTTTGTAGCACAAAGTAGTATTGGGAAGTAGTTTGTGCAAGCTTTGTAGTACAAAGTAGTACTGGGAAGTGCTTTGTGCAAGCTTTGTAGTACAAAGTAGTACTGGGAAGTGCTTTGTGCAAGCTTTGTGGTACAAAGTAGCTCTGGGAAGTGCTTTGTGCAAGCTTTGTAGTACAAAGTAGTACTGGGAAGTGCTTTGTGCAAGCTTTGTAGTACAAAGTAGTACTGGGAAGTGCTTTGTGCAAGCTTTGTGGTACAAAGTAGTACTGGGAAGTATTTTGTGCAAGCTTTGTAATACAAAGTAGTACTGGGAAGTGCTTTGTGCAAGCTTTGTAGTACAAAGTAGTACTGGGAAGTGCTCTGTGCAAGCTTTGTAGTACAAAGTAGGACTGGGAAGTAGTTTGTGCAAACTTTGTAGTACAAAGTAGTACTGGGAACGACTTTGTGCAAGCTTTGTAGGAAAAAATAGTGCTGGGAAGTACTCTGTGCAAGCTTTGTAGTACAAAGTAGTACTGGAACGTGCTTTGTGCAAGCTTTGTAGTACAAAGTAGTACTGGGAAGTGCTTTGTGCAAGCTTTGTAGTACAAAGTAGTACTGGGAAGTGCTTTGTGCAGGCTTTGTAGTACAAAGTAGTACTGGGACTGGGAAGTAGTTTGTACAAGCTTTGTAGTACAAAGTAGTGCTGGGAAGTGCTTTGTGCAAGCTTTGTAGTACAAAGTAGTACTGGGAAGTGCTTTGTGCAAGCTTTGTGGTACAAAGTAGTACTGGGAAGTGCTTTGTGCAAACTTTGTACTACAAAGTAGTACTGGGAAGTGCTTTGTGCAAGCTTTGTAGTACAAAGTAGTACTGGGAACGACTTTGAGCAAGCTTTGTAGTACAAAGTAGTACTGGGAAGTGCTTTGTGCAAGCTTTGTAGTACAAAGTAGTACTGGAACGTGCTTTGTGCAAGCTTTGTAGTACAAAGTAGTACTGGAACGTGCTTTGTGCAAGCTTTGTAGTACAAAGTAGTGCTGGGAAGTAGTTTGTGCAAACTTTGTAGTACCAAGTAGTACTGTGAAGTGCTTTGTGCAAGCTTTGTAGTACAAAGTAGTACTGGGAAGTAGTTTGTACAAGCTTTGTAGTACAAAGTAGTACTGGGAAGTGCTTTGTGCAAGCTTTGTAGTACAAAGTAGTACTGGGAAGTGCTTTGTGCAAGCTTTGTGGTACAAAGTAGTACTGGGAAGTATTTTGTGCAAGCTTTGTAATACAAAGTAGTACTGGGAAGTGCTTTGCGCAAGCATTGTAGTGCAAAGTAGTACTGGGAAGTGACCCAGAGAATAGAGAAATAATGATGCAGAATCCCAGCGTTGACATGCAGGTTGCACACGAGAATGACATTATAAGAGAGTAGAAAATCAATATTTTCATCCATCGCATTCCATTGTGTTTCATTTGTTTTTCATGTCTAAAATGCATGGTTACACGTTTATTGAGGACAGCGTTCCATGCAGAAACGCATTTAGGCATGACTTAGGCATGACTTCTTGGATACAGCGTTTACAATGGTAAATGCCATTCAAAAACATGCTAGGCATGACTTAGGCGTGACATTGTCGCTTCCCTGTAGTTTACCAGAGGGTAATAGCATCCATTACCATGGGAATATCATGGGAATATGATGGTCACAATTGGTTTATCCATGTTTATCCGATGCTAACTGTGGTAAACGTTTACCAGAGGCTAGATCCAGTGACTGCTTTGTTGTGACAGCTCATGGTTTTTCCGTGGGAAGTCCGCCATGAAACCGACAGCCGGATGAAGATGGGTTTATCAGCTGGGTGGTATTTCCTTTAGATTTGTCGGGATTCTAAGGTTTATTGATTACTAAGGGAAGATTACCCTCTGGTAAACTAACATAGCTATTGAAAATGGCCATTTATAGTGGATTTTCCCATTAAAAATGGTGATTTTCCATAGCTATGTTAAATTACCAGAGGGTAGTCAATTCTAAAGCCTCTGATTTTCGTTGATTACTTGGATTTACTCGCATAGGTCAACCCGTTGTGATAGGACGATTGCCCAACCCACCAAATAATATTAGTATAGTAATAATAATTGAAATTATAATACTCTTAATTTGCCCAACCCATGTAATTATATGTATATTGTAGGACAATTGCCCATCTATTTCACCATATAAGCCATATAATGCCTATTTCCAATTATTCACATAGGTTTGTTAGTTCAAATTGGTGCGCTGGCACTTGGCCTTGCAGCAATTTGGACCTACTTGCTGCTGAAGTTTTGAGGGCTGAGGAATTGTTGCGACATCCAGAAAGGTCCAGCATAATCCCTTTTCCCTAATACTAAATACACCCATGGTAAATAACATAGGTCTTGGTTTCCCATTACATTTTCTTGAATTCTTGTTTGGCCCTTTTGAAAATAGATCGAACGTCTAAAGTCAGGGTTTTTAACCCCCGATTCAGATGCATTTGTTTTTTGGTTCCCTGGGCCCCTGGGCCCCCTGGGCTTGTAATAGAAAAAACATATACCACGTGGCAGGCAGGTGCGAAAAAAATCACTGCAAAGGCTCCCTAGAGGGCTGTTTGGGACTTGCTTCAGTGTCAAAATATTTTCAAGAATGTTTCAGGCTAGTTTCAGATTGCGTCTACGAGCGCCGGCTACTATAGGGAACAACAACAACGACAACAACAGCAGCATCAACAGCAGCAACAACAAGAAGAACAAACACAACAACAAGATCAACCACAACAACCACAACCTTACCTTATAAATATAAATATCCGGAACAACCCGATATTGAAATAAATTTTATAATATCCGCAATATTTGTATCCGTAATAAAATGTATTAATAACCTTATATACATGTTATCTGGTTGGTGGTTTCAAACATTTTTGTATTTTCCATTTCATATATGGGATAATCGTTCCCATTGACGAACTCATATTTTTCAAGATGGTTAAAACCACCAACCAGATGGTTAATAGTAATGGTTGATATAATAGTGGTTAACCATATATTAACCATATATTAATCATATATTAACCATCATTCATCTATGGTTAAAACCACCAACCAGTTAATAATCGCCGTGTTTGTACGCTTCACATCGTGTTCCCAACTGAAAGTCACAAAATCGTCATAGAAGTTCGTCCACATGACTGCTAAACATTTGCAAGCGATCCACCAAATTACTCTGACAACTCTGAGGAATGAATATACTGACCTCGAGCCTCCAAAGGGCACCGCAAGCATCTGAAAGATGGCTGGTCCCCTTGAAATGGGATCAAAGCAAACGATGTACGAGCAACTGAGGGAATTTGGGTGGATTCCCAACTGACGATACGCCGATTTAAGGTCGAAGGTTTTTCCAAGCACCTTCCGACCAGATGACCCAAGTAAAACTGCAAGGGCAAGCGAAGCAACCACATCAGTCGAGTGAGGTCTAGGCGCCTCCGGAGTTTGCACAGTTGAGTTGATGT